GGATTCCTTTAACCATTTTTTCTACTTTTGGTTGGCAGTTTGGCAGGTCAGGGTTGTTTTTTTTTCTTTTTTTTTTTTTTTTTGTAACATTCATGTTCTAATTGTCAAGATACAGAGATAAATATATATATATATAAATATATATAAATATATATATATTACTCACAGTTCCACCTCTGCTCTGCTTGCAGCTGAGTAACAGGATACTGTACCCAAAGAGTGAGGGCTGGGTCTTGATGTTCAAAGCGCACAAACTTCCATTCCAGCGGAAACCCAAGTGCCTGGGAGAGACTGGTAATGGCAGCATCCAAGGTCTGAGTGAGGAGCTAACAGAGGGGAGAACAGGGGAGGAGAAGTCAGAAATGGGGACTTGATCTTATCTGAAATAGCCGTAACTCAGAGCTCATCGCTGTTAACCCCACTGCCAAATGTAACTGAATTGGAATCACAAGTGTCGCACAGCCTGAAATTGCTGGGCTTTGGGGTGGGGCAGCGGTCTCTCCCAGCACTGAAACCTGTGGCCATTATGTTGGTAATGAGTATCTTTGCACACTGGGTTTGAGATTGTCCCCAGGGGAGTTTCCATTGCTGGCAATGGATGTTGCTTTTAAATGAGTATGTCTGTATTTCCCTCTGCACCACGCACATCCCATCGTCACTCTCGATGCAGGCTCCCGGCAGCGCCGGTCCCGCAGCAGGTCAGAGTTCACCTCTGCAGGCCCTGGGGTGCCGACGGAGCAGAATGTCCTTTTTTCCCCAACGGATCGAGCTGTAGAGCAACTTGTGGTTGCTAACGCACCCTGCACTGTGCTGGCAGAGGAGCCCAGGCTCTCATTCTGTCTGTCACAGCTAAGTACTCTGTGCTAATTTGCATCGCTTCTTTTACTGACCTTCTGGAGAAACAAGTGCTGTCACTGTGCTCTGTACCTCGGGTTCCTGTACAGCACGGCAGGTATTTGTGAGGGGAGCAAGGCAAGGTGGGCGCAGCGCTGAGGCATTAGGGGTGAAGCAGGAGGAGGCTTCTGCAAAAGAACTTGCTCCTATAGGAAAAATCTGAGTTCCATGGAAAGCAATCAATAAATGACTACAGTGCATCTTTCCTACAAGAATCTTCTTTCACTAGTGTGTTTTAGTCCATTAAAAGCTTTTGAAACTAATCTGAACGCTATCGGTTTCTTTGCCATCCCGGAGCTGGATAACGGCCTGCCCGCTGGCAGCAGCTCGTGGTTGCAGCGCAGCCCTCTCCTGCAATGCATCACTTTTTTCTCCTGAGCCCCTTTTGTACCAATCAGGAGACGAAGGGAAAGAGGGAATTCTTCCCCATCCCACGCCTGGCAGCCACACACGGCGATGTGCCTCGTGGTGCCTCTGGGCTGACACATCTCTGCTCCTTGGGGCTCCCCCCAGCGCTGCCCTCGCAGCCCTCAGCTTGCACAGAACGAAGCTGCAGGGCGCTGCGTTCGCTCTCCCCGCAGTGAGGTCAGCACTTCTTTGTGCTTCTGTCAGTGACAAAACGCGCCCACTGCCCTTCGCTACTGACCATTTGTAGGCAGCACTCGAGCCAAGGAGAGCAGCGCAGCGGGAAAAGCACGCAGCGGCTGCAGCTCAGCAGCAGGGCCGCCCCGCGCCGCCGCCTCAGCCGCGCTCACAGCGCTTTCCTGAACACCGGCAAGGAAAGCTGCAGGGGCCGCACGCTGAGCCCCATCGCTGCTGTGCGCCGGGCGGGAGCAGGAGCCCAGCCATGCTCAGCATGAAAGCCAGCAGCGCTGCTGACCACCCATGAAAGCAGCTTCCGAAGTCAGCGTCCATCCTCACAACACCTGACTGCGGCGCTCGGCAGCAGAGCCCTGGCACAGCGCTGCGCGCCCACCGCCTGCAGCACCGCCTGCAGCACCGCCTGGGCTGAAGCAGGGCAGCAGAGCGGGTGTGCAGCAGCAGCATTAGTTCAACATTCTAACTTCTGCATCCAAGGACACGAAAACACATCTAGTTTTATATGCATTTAATAGTTTACCAATTGGTACAATAAGATTTTTTTAATATGCAGAAAACATGAATAAATTTTGTTTTACACAGTCTGAGAGCAACAAACCTTACTGTAAAACACAGAGCAGTATTATATACATTCCTTTACTATTTTTCGTTGTTTTTTTTTTTTAAATCGTGTCAATATCTTTAGTTAACTCCTACAGTCTGGGAACTGTTTTCTCCAATTGCAACCTGTAACATCATCTTTATGGAAAAAAATCAGCGTTTGCCTTCAGGCCAATGTCAGGACCAGCTCCTAAGTGTCGCTAAGTTATCTTCAGGGTGAGTCTGGGGAAGCCTGAGCGCCAGGCAGGACAAAAAGCAGCTACTTACGTGACACAGTGAAAAGATAGAAAGGCCAGTTGAGCCCAGGTGTGACTCGGACATCCACCCCAACCTTCCCCACTCCTAACATCTTTATCCCTACCAGTTTATGCACGCATTCTTCGCTAGAAGATTCTATTGACTTCTTTTTTTAAATGCACTGGACTTAATGTACAGTTGGACAGCAAATAACTCATTCTAAGTGCATTTTTCCTTCACTCAACTTAGTATCTTTTCTTTATATTCAAATCATTAAAAGGATTATCAAGCCACCACTGTCTACAGAAAAGGAAAAAAAAGGAACAAAGTCTCTTTTTCTTTTAAATAGCTTTCACGCGAGGCAAAACCTATTTAAGAGTGCTAGTGTCAGGCAGCTCACGTAAAGACAGGGGAGCGCAGAGCAGCAGTGCTGACGGCAGGAGACGCGGTGCGACGGCAGCCACAGCTCCCCAGCACCACGCAGCCCAGCACGGCCCACTGAGCTCCGGCTGCCTCTGCTCGGTGCCCGGGCGCACCATTGGTCACACCACACACAAAAGCAGGACGGTTTTCTTAAGTCTTCTAAAGTGCAAGATGCGATAAAACATCACCTCCAGATCACGTCTGAACCACAATAAACGTTGCACTTTCGAGAACACATCTAAGACTTCCTGGGCACGTTACACGAGTGTGGCACTGGAATGTCTGTCTGTTAAGCCAAGCAGCAGTCTGTACGGTCTGTGTGCAGCATGGTTTGGATGCAGGTGTTTTTTAAGCAATGCCGATTTTAGAACAGAGTGACAAAGTAGCAGTGAACCTCTTCAACTCCCAACAGTTTGCAAACCAGACCAGTAGCCTCGGCATATCACAGGAAAGGCACAGCATCAGGCAGCTGACAGAACACCGCAAACAGTGGAAAAGTTCACCACAGCGTAACACCACGGAGCAACACTGCAGAAGAGCCTCACAACCCCACCTCCTGCCTTGTGGGCTCGGGTTTTGTTTTTGTCTAAACAGGGCTTTCACTTTTGATCCGTTCAGGACCATCCCTGAGATTATTCACTGCTCATTAAAGGAGAAGGCTGCAAATTGCATTGCAGAAATACAGGGCGCTTCGCACAAGCAATTAAACGCTGCTTTACGTTCGTTAGTTCTTTCCTCCTGCAAACAGCCCTATGCTACAGCGAAAAACGCAGCAGGCAGTTTCCACTTAATAGGTACCTTTAGTTTCTCAGTCATGTTTATGAATTATGTACACAAGTGTGGTTTTCATACTTCAATCAAGTTTCTGGGCTCTACCGGGAGCTGAACTGACCGACTCCTTCACCACTGCAGTGCGCTGAGGAACTTTAAGATGCGCTGCTGTGTATCTGAGTTCCTGAACAGCACACAGCTGCAAATTCTTCCAGTCAGCGCAGATAATGAAGATAAAAATGCTTTATCTCTGCATGCCTAATGCAGGAACACACACTGGGAAAGACATAAGCCACTGGATTTGAGAGGATTGCCTGAATCTTACACTGGCTCCAAACCCCACACATCAGAGCCCCATTTCCTCACCACTTCCAGGGGCAGCTCTGCACAGCAGCAAACTGGGCTCTGCCTGCACACCACGGGTCCTCCTGGGGCAACTGTAGGAAATCAACACCGCATCCCGCACACCTTGGACTGTTACTTTTAAAAGGGACAGTTTTAAAAGCCATGTATTAAACAACATGAGTAAAAAAGCACAACTTCACCTGTTAAAATGTCAGACCAGTATTTCATCATAGTGGAAATTTTAAAGGGACGTTTTAAAAGACGTGGTTAGTTCAGTAAGTACGGGAGTTCTTAGTTCTCTCTAATGGAATTTGTCACTGAATGCTGATTAAAACATTAATTTGTATTTTCTTTCACTTCAACCAAAGTATGTAACTCCAGGGATATGCAAATTAAAAACTGACTCTACCCGACAAGGCAAAACACCAACGACCAAGCTGGGCTGCTTTTTGTAGATAGGATTTGGTTTCTAGTTGCTCACTTGACAGCATTATTCCCCCAGCCGGGCTCCGTTTTGCTGACGGCACTTCCAGTATCAATTTGTATCTGCCATTACAATCCGATGCTCAAGGTATTTAGTGCTTTCTTTAAAGCCTTCCAATACCATACCCAGAGATATTTCTTCATACGCAAGCCACAGTAAGTTTTTATTTAAGCCACACTGCCTTGTCAAGGTGGAAATAACCTCATATTCAAAAGGCTTCCCAAGGAGGCATTAAAGGAACCGAGAGCTTCGTATAGCCCAACCTCCTGCCCGCCAACGTAAGGGAAGTGTACTTGGATACTGTCGTGTAATAGGAATTGCACATCTCTAACAAACAGTGAAAGCAAACAGCAAGTTGTTCCACGGCAGTCATTGGGGAGATTCAGCTCTATTGGAAATCAGATCACTAAATGCTAGTGGGATGGACAACTCCTCCTGGAAGTTCAAACAGCAATAAAAAAAAACTGAAAAAAACCCCACATTTAAACTTAGTTTAACAGCACAGTTTAACCACTGAATGACCAAATAAAAAATAAATACATTTATCACATCAGCTGCTACTAGGATTTGTTGTCTTATTTCAGGTTTACAGTTAGTCATATAAATATACCAACCCTTGCGCGATAGGAGGCCAAAACAAAGTGTATTCTGTTGATTTGGCAAATGTTTCATGACAAATGTTCCAAAGTTTAATTAATTTCCATTAATTACATATAAGGTTCAGAAGATTCTGACTTGCAGCCTTATTATCTAGTACTCTTAGAGATTTATTAAGCACACTTAAGTGATGTTACATAGATACACATTTCTGAAAGAGCCCTACAAAACCTTTCCCAAATGAGGTCACCAATTCAGGCACCAACAGACAGCAGAAAGAAAAACAGGTATAATTATCCGACACAGAACGACACTGTCAACTATTCAGTTAAGTGCCCTATTTCAATCATCAAACTTCTGCCTTCTTAGGTCTGATGTGACCAATGCCAGCCCATGTTCTTAAACCTATGGTACTTCTAGACAACGTATGTAAATTTACAGTATACAATTTGGATTCACCATGCATGAATACTTTGTGTGTAACATTTAATAAGCTCAATCTACATCCAGAATAATTTACATGAAAGGACAATATTTATTTAAACAGAGCTCAATGGGTAACCATGGTATCTGAGTGCATCCAGAGGAGAAAGGGGTCAAATGTGAAATCAATCAACGGCACTCCCACACTTTTACTGTTTGATCTACACTTCCAGTAACCACATATGGTGCCGTCTTGTGGAAATCTGCGAGGAAAGAAAAGGTACATTAAGAACGAGTGGAACAGTTTCACTCTCACTGAATGCCATTACTTCTTCCCCAAAAGCAATACCAGCTCAAAGATTAAATCTCAAAGCTCTGCAAGTTTGTAGTTCTGAAGGCAAATCCGCTGAGGGAGAGTATAAAAAAATCTCTTTTCAGGTTTGTAGAAAGGGGGGAGCTAACAGCTGCCAATCTGGTAATGCCAGGAATTCAAGTTAAACACTTTCTCCTGGCTTTTACTTTTTCCCCCTTGCTCACAACCCTCCTCCTTTTGGCCAGCAAGTGTTTCTAACACAATGCTCCCCAAATCCCTGCACACTCAGCAGTGGAAGTCCAGAACACTCTGGCAGTTAGCATCTTTATCTCATACACAACAGTGGCAACAGAAAATTCCAGAACACCTGAAAATCTTGTCTATCACTATTTGATTAAAATACAGCACAAAACATCATGGGAATCCCAGAACGTGGATGCCCAGCTTGGTCCTCAGCTGGTAAAGATGCAGAAGAAGTTCTGTATTTTGCATCTAGTGCTGGGGAACAATACATACCCAAAGAGGTAACAAAGTGTTCGTGCGCATTGAGGGTTTTCATGCATCGTTTGTTCTTGAAGTCCCAGACACGTAGAGTCTTGTCATCAGCACAGCTCAAAATAAACTTTCCCCCAGAATGGAACAGAACGCCACGTACCCAGTTATCATGGCCCACCTTATGCACAAGGAGACATCAGTGAGCAGATGCATGTTTAAGGTCAAACAGACTACAGTTTATACTATGGCAAGCCGAGTAACTCTGTGCCCTTCGCCTGCAGTGACAGCATTTAGCATTCCAAAACTACTGGAATTCAACGTTTATCTTCAGTTTCTATTATTACATGTTTATCAACACTACCAACGATGTGAGTTCCTATCCTTGAAGGCAAGCAAACAGGAGTTCCCATGTGATCTGCACTGATTCTCTTCCTCACCCCCTGCAATAACGGCCAGTTCAGTCTGAGCACAGGCTGGAAAGCAGCAGCCTGCAGGACAACCACACTGAAAGAGCAACATTTTACTGACGACAATATTCATCTGATTACCAGCAATCCCACAGGAAAGGCAAGTTCCTTTCCAAGAAGTACACCACAGTACTCCTGCATTCATACTACATATTTTGAGATTCACTGTTTCTTAGCAACAAAAGCTGAAATACAGAAGCCATTAAAACTGTATTTCCAGCGCACGTCTCATTGCAACAGCTCTAACTGCTGTTCAAAACAAACATGCAGACAGCTCACTCCATGAAAGCTGGCGTTACACATGCAGCTATCACCAAAGAAAAACACCACCAAACTTACAAGTGTCATAAGGCACATGCCAGTGCTGATGTCCCACATCTTTATGGTCTTGTCTCTGGATCCAGACAGCAGAAAAGGCCCAGGTTTACCACTCTTCTTAGTCTACAGAAAATTATGTATTCATTATGGCACATAAGGGGGAAGGAAGGGAATAAAGCAGATCTTAAGTGCTGCTATTACTTAGAAAAATTAGATAGTATGATAATTAATTAACAGCATATAGACACACAATAGCAAAACTGGGATTCACAGCCATTCTGTTACTAGTAGTAAGAGAAAAAAAAAAAAAGGAATTAAAGCTATTTAAACAGATTGTTTATGTCCCACTGATATACCAAGACAAATGAAATACTCTGAATCCAAGCTTTCCACCTGCAAGACATCTAATTCAAATATACCAGTAGATACAGTCCAACTAGAATCACACATCTCAGAACAAAAGCATATGAAGTTCAGACATACCTTTGTGTTGTCATCCTTTACATAAAGTAATGAAGTAAGTCCCACCGTTTCGGTAAGTCCCTACTCTGAAATTATCTCCATTTGTAACCGTGCCAAGTAGGAACCCGAGACTCAGTTCCCAGAACCTGAAATCTTTCAGCTGTGACGTGAACTTTAACTTGCTCCTTGCCCAAAGCCAAGTCCTACAGTGTGATGTATGCAGCCATCAGACCAGCAGAGGGCAGGAGACACAGCGCGTCACGTAATGTCCACTGCTCCAGGAAGTAAACTTTTGGAATTTACATTTCACTGTTTTTAATAGAAAGACTGTAAGGAATTTTTAAGGATGCAAGCAAAATTTGACTGAAATAATCTGTTCAGTCCATGAGTAGACAAGTTCCTGCCTCTTTGTTATGGTTTTCTTAAGCTTGACATTACTTTCCTCTACACTGTCAGCCTCAAAAGGAGATCTGTGCGAACCTCTGGTTCTTCAGGATTTGGTAACCAAGCCAAAGAACGTACATCCATGGCCAAACACGTGGAGACTTTTAAGAACGCTTCCTCATATCACTTTGTACACAGGAAACTGAGGTCAAAGCTTAATTTAATTGCAACAGCAGTTTGAATTACGCCCAAGGTAGCTTCATTTCTGCATTTCTGCATTTTTAACTTGCTATTCCCCTCCCCACACCTTGCCTTGCCAGGTAACACAAACATTATGAGGATTCGCTGAGCTGCCTTTCACACTGCTTCATGGAAGTATGTAGTGCAATTCAATCCGTCAACATGGTCAGAAACAGAGCCTCTCTCTACACGTCCCTTTCATTAGTGCATAGGCAGGGCCCTACTGTTAAAACACAAGAGCACAGTGCCTACAAAGCCAAGCTGGGTTTAATGGTGCAACACATATAAGCAGCAACCACCAACACTCAAAACACCCACTATGCCAGCCAAAGGCTTTGAGAACAAAACTTACAAGTTGTGTATTTATTATCACTGGAAACATTACCTCTGATCCTGTAGCTTCTGATATGGTGGAGTACGAGCTCTCGGGAGCCCAGGAAATGCATTCTACCACATGCTCATGTTCTCGGAGCTCAGCTTTGCATTCCTTTGTTGCTACCACCCAAACACGCACCGTCTGGTCATTAGAACAACTGGCAATTAAGGTGCCATCCTGGTTAGGCCGCACCATGCGCACCCATTCTCTGTGACCCGTGAAAGTCTTCACACAGTAACTATTCAAAACAGAGCAATACAGAACGACATTTAAGCACTGAATAAAGCCACCACACACGCCTTGGATGCTTAAGGACACTTGATCCCCTCTCAGAAGTTAAGCTTTAGCAGGCCTATCAGTCCTGGCTGATGTACAAGGCCGTGAAGCAGTTCATGGGGAGGAAGCTCATATGAAAAAAAAACAACAACAAAAAACAGTTAAGAGCCAGCAAATACTTTTTAAGGGAGAAAATGGGAGGCTGCTGACATTCCAACCTATGCTAAATAGGTATTTTAAGAACACACAGATTTCACAAATCATTCAGATAGCCTTTACACTCCACCTGGAGTAAATGGATGGATCAGAGAGACTACTGAATAATGAAACAGACAAAAAAAATCTTCCCGGGTCAAGAAAGACAGCAGATTTCTGCTTCCATTTGTCACAATCCCTTCAAATTTGCTATTAGTCACTAACTTCCTACCCGGTCTTGAGTTACATATATATACATATATATATACATACATGCATACATATATACATATATATACATACACACACACACACACCCCATAGCTCCCAGAAAGATAAAATCAGATACCTTTAGTGGGTGGCTACTAAAACCCTGCACTTACTGACTTAATGCAGGACCCTTCCATTGACACCTGTGTCAAGGTGCACGTGGTACACTTCCTATTACACATATTTTTCTGCAGGTTTTCTTTAGGCAGTGATGTTCACCCAGAACTGCACTCACCCTGTCTGGACTTCCCACATTTTGATAGTTCTATCCCTCGAGGCAGAAACTATATGATCTCCATTGGGCATGATGGCTACCGAAGAAACATTATGATCATGGCCTGAAAAGAAAAGCAAGCTTTTATTAAGTGCTACTGCAACACTGTAATATTGCACACAGGACCTGCTATTCATTCATTTTGGTCAAGAAGCTACAGCAGAAGCCTTTAGCGTGCTTCATGGAATAACCACGGAACAAAAGCCTGAAGTTTTACAGAAGTCACTGTATTTTCAGAAACCATGCAGTCCAGCCATTGAGCAGCTTCTCAAAAAACATCTTTCAGGTGTTTTAAAAACAGACCATCAGCACTGCAAGCACTGCTTTGTAACAGTTGCTGTCAATAACTGAACCCATGTGGTGGTTGTTTTACTTCCCATTTCTTCCCGTATGGCTTTTGATTCTAATGCAATGGTAACTCATCTGACACCAGACAAGTCTGAAGCAAGACTGCACAGTATGAAGAGAACACTTTCCACCCTGCTTCCTTCCTGAGTCAGCACATTCTGGAAACAGAGGGGTGCAGATGAAGACAGCTCTCTAGTGATTTGACAGTACAGTTTTTGTTATCTAGTAAGCATTTAATTTTCAGCGCTCAGCTCCTCTTATTTGCCATTTCATTTCAGTATCATTATGGGGTGCTTCCCCACAGCGCTGTGCATAGCAGATCTGAGAGGCTGCTTCATTCCACAGACACTGAACATATACTCCATTTTACAGAACACTTTAAGCATTAAGAATATCCTCTTTCTTTTAAGTAAAAGTCTGGTTTATTTCCCTTTCCACATCTGCAGTTTTTCCTCATTCATAAAAGCCAAAACACCAAAAAAAAAAAAAAAACCAAAACCCACCTCTATTTTACAGACTGTAATTTCCTTTAAACCTTACCATGCATAGTTCTGATGCACTCAAAGCCCTGGAAATCCCATAGCTTAATGGTCATATCAGCAGAACAGGAGGCCAACAGTTTGCCAGTGTGGTCAAAAGAAATATCTTGCACAGAGTCTGTATGCCCCTTAAGGGTTCGTTCGAAGTCTCCTGTCTCATAATCCCACACCTAACAAGCAAACAAAAAATCCATTAGCAGTAATATATTATTACTCCCTGTATTCTCCAGCCTTACATTTGCACTCTGCAAACCAGTCTGGCACCTTATCCAATAATTAAACGAGCAAGAAACAAAGACAGACAGACCTAAAAAAGCCTAGTAGTGTTGTAAAAAAAAGCACTGTGTTAATATGATCATTACCTATATATCCTACACATCTTTCTCTATTTCCTCAGCGCTGGTACACAGTCTGTTTTCAGTTAGTGGGAGAAGCACCTCCAACAACTCCCCCTGCTCCTTTCTCGTGGTTTCAGAAGCTACTCACTGCTCCAGAACCAAACAGCAAACACTTGGTCTACTGCAGGGCAACAGCCAGAATATCTCAGTTTAGGGATGAGACCCCAGATCACAAGTCTGACACACACATATTAGCAAGATCACAGAATTTGGAAAAGCTTAAACAACTGTCAGCAGTTAAGCGCAAGATAGCATGAAGTCCCATTCCCTCCTCCTAATTAAGTTAATCTTCCACCATCTAACCACAAACAAAAGCCTTTGAAACAAAACAGACTTTCTACAGACTGTATTGCGGGTCTCCAAACACAAAATTAGGCATTTCTAATTATATCCTGAATAAAACAAAAACACCCACCATCAACAGTGAAAGAATCCATCATCCCCAGCAGATTTCAATCTCTGGGAATGGAACACTGAGATCATGCTCTGCAGCTAGATTTCAATAGTACAGATTCATTCACAGTATCCATAAGAGTAAAGAAACAACCAAACCAGTCAGGCTCCCCTGAACCATCCAACAAGCAGAGAGCTGTCTCTGCAGCAGAGGACCCAGTCTGCCTGAAGAAAAAGAAGAGAAGACTACGCTTCCTATCTGCCACAGAAACAATGGTATAAGGTTTCTCCTTAACTGTGTCTGATTGCCACTTTCTAAACCTTCTCCAGCAGGTAGCCACTGTCAGAACAACTCACATTTCTAAGCATATTATTTTCTATACTTTTCAACTTTTATCAGGACAACATTTTCCCAAATAGTTTTCAAAGCAGCACAGATGGCAATTTCTCTTAAACGGTGACATTGAGAGAGCAACAAAATGCACAATTACATCGTTACTTGGTGCTAAAATGAGAAATCACTTGCCTACCACAATAAATCTGTTCTTGTCATTGTACACTGCAAAGAAGGTGCATGAAGATCATTTAGAATTACTGAAAGTCTCTCCTAAAACTCACAGCAACTTCATGGGACATGCATGTGCCACTTAAAAGGAAAGAACCGTTCTTCAGTTAAGGATACAGCTGCACAACCACTCTACCTAAGCCTTAGATGACTTGAGGAAACCATCCTCCCCCCTCTCATCTCTGCACTGGCCCTCGATGCCACTTTCTCTTACTTAGCAGTCAAAATGCATTCCTCCCACCGTTCATTGTTCCAGTCCCTAACCCACAGTAGCTCAAGAATTTCTTTTCAAGAGCAGTAAAACATGCGTGCAGATAGCAACTGAACCAGCATAAAACCAAAATTCATATATTACATCAGGAATCATATTTGAAATAACTGTCCCTAACGAAGCTAAAGCAGAATCCAAAGCAATCATCAGTACAACACACATTCACCACGAAACGCTGGTGCTACATACTGATCTGCTTCGTTTAATGTTCTCCAGCAAGCACATACCTTTATTGTGGCATCCTCTGAAGCAGAAACCATTACACTGAAAACCGGATGGAAAATTACTCGAGTGACAGGACTCCTGTGTCCACTCAAAGCATACTTCTCTGGAGGACGAGGGATCCACTCCTTAGGGTCTCGTTTCTGACCAAGAGGTCCACCTGATGTGAATTCTTCCTTAGCTTCATTCAGCTTCGATTCTAATTCCATTACCTAAGTTTATGGATTTTAAAGAGACCATTTACAAATAGCCTTACCAAGATGTAAGCCATCTGTAGTCATTAGTACCCCAAACACTAACAGGCTTCCAAACTCACAATTTAGCCCAGACTGCACACATCCAAAACAGCTAACAACAAGCTATAGAGCTGATATTTCTGAATTAAACAACAAAATTCACACTTAAGTTAAGCCCTTATTCTCCTCCAACTTCCCAAACACCTTTGGCAAGAAAATAAAGTTCCATCAAAACATATCACCTAAACACTGTGCAAAGATGTACAAGCAACTGACTCAAAAGCGATAGGGCTTTTGTGTGTGTTTCTTGCTTATTTGGCACTTCTGATGAACTACTGAAGGAATTTTTGTTAACAAAAACGTATCCTACTACCGCAATTTGCTTTTTTGTATCCCTGAGATGGTGTGCGTGTTAACTAAGAGCAGAGAAACTGAATGTGTGATACAATCTTACATATACTGACCTCTATAATAGATAGGCCATTACTGTTGTTACGCCTTGATTTTTAAGGCTTTTAATGCCCTCCAGACCCACTGAAGCATTTCTAAAAAGAGTTCTGTACCATCCATTCGCGGAAGAATCACATGCTGTAGTGCACTGCAGTTAATGGTTTCTTCCCTTTAACGTAATGGCCAAAGACAGCAGCAGCAAGGGTTGCTTCTAACCAAGTTAAGCCTTCTGGAGACAGTTATTCAGTCTTCCCATTCACAGACTGCCTGAGGGCACATCTTTCCTTTTCCGCCTCAAATTGTACATACAACCCATAAACTGAAGTAAACAAATGTTCTTAAAGAAATTGAGAGGACGTTTCTGCTAGCACTAAGATGGACAAAGACTTGCTACAACATGGACATCGCTATTTTCCCCTGCTCAAGTCACGCAAATTAATCTTTTCCCTCTTGAGAAGGAAAAAAAACGTAACATTCTGCTCCCTGATGGATGTTGACTCTCGTTACAACTTTTGATACAAGTAAATCTATCAGATCTCCACCTACCTTCTTTTGTAATCTTATAACCGATGTCCATTTCTTCTCCAGAAGTCCGGCATACTTCTTATCTAACTCTTCATTCTGGGTGGGAGTGTTTAAAGAAATCGTAAGTTATATGTCCAAAGCCTCTACAAGTAGCACAAACAGCTCATTTCACAGAAAAATCAAACAGAAGACTATGATCAGCTTTACTAACAAAAGGGAACAACTGTACTTCAATACTTCAACCCAACTATCCCCAGAGAAGCAAGATACAGTGAAATACAAGCCTCCAGTAAATGACGAGTTTAAAAATTAAGTTGTAGGAAATGGCTGGTCCAGGTCACCAGCATCTCTCTACCCTGACAAGAACTGCTTAACAGGAACTGGTCAGAGCCGCTACCCGTTCAGCCTCGCCCTCCTACTACATCATTAACCAACCAGCGTGCACACAGCAGTCACAGGAATGGTTTAACTACTGACCCAAAGGCACTCACAAAACAGACAAGGTCTCTTCCACCTTCAACAAAGTACAAACCCTCTCACTCACAGCAAGGTCAGCTGGAACTGCTCAGGACACGTCCACACACTTACTGAATACGCCGAGGGAATGACTCCACAACACGTGAGCCTGTTCCACTGGTCAGTCAAAAGGTTTTGTTTTTAAAGTTGCACACTAAATTCAAGTGGAATTGCTATGTTTCAATTTCTGCCCACTGGCTCTTGTTCTGTCATCGACCAGAGCCTACTTCTGTTTTCTTTACACCCTCTTATCAGGTATTTACAAACAACACAGGATATCCCTTGAGTCTCCTCTTCTCTAGGCTAAACAGCCCCAGCTCTTACAGCCAGTATCCTCCTTGTCTTTTACTGGACTTCAGTAACTCCATGTCTTTTTTTTTTTTTTTTTAAATACAGTCTTTATCATCTTCCTTATACCTTCACATTGCCTTTCATTAACTTTGCTTTCCAGCAGCTTTCATCTTGAAAGACCTAGGCCCTCCCAGGATCACTGTACAAACCAGTGGTAGCTAGAGAGAAAATAAGATTAAGTCTATGCCTCAGTCATGAGTAGAAGATAGGGAGTTTTACTCAAAACTCTTTAAGCCATCTGATAATTTTAATGTATTGTAAGACAATAAGTTATGCAGGTGTACTACCTCCAGTACTAACTGCATGTGCTAACAGGTAGACAACATGCATACAAGTTCACAACAAATGCAAATACTACAAATTATGAGCTCTTTACTTAAAATACACCATAGAATTTTGTTTGAACTCACCACATCTAACTCAGCTTCCTTTTTAAAAACCGAATATGCCTCTTCATAGCCATTAGAGCGAAGGTAATCTGCTATTGCTCGATTTCTAAAAAACACAGAACCAAAAGCACAAAGTTAGCCTGTTAGTTCTGAGCAAGAGGACAGGGATTGGCTCAGGGCTTTTCGTTGAACTGTACCACCTCGTATCAACACCCAGGATGATCAGGCTTGTTACAAGCCCAGGCGAACTCTAAGAATACATTTGGTAAGCATTTTGTATCAAGCCACAAATAGCAACACACTCACTGCTTAGAATACATGCTCCTTATTTTAGATTTGAGAAAGTAAAAGAGAAAGGTTATTTTTTTCGTTACCAAACATTGCAGTAGCATGAATACTTCTCAATCTGCATGGCACAAACAGATTGATAAATATATTCATGCTACTCCAATGTACTCCAACTAACGGGAGACACAGAAAATGATGACATGCACATATTAGACTGGCGCTTCATCTCTGAAAGAAGACTACATTGAGAAGAACAGCCTGCGGTACCAAACAGCATTCACTGAATTCTACACTTCAGTGGAACTTGAACGCTCTGCTCAAGAGAACAAGCCTTAGCTTTGTTTTTCAGAACGATACAGTAATTTTAGTTAGATTACAGGGAAGGATACTCCATGTGACCAAAACATACAGTGCTTCCAGTTTTACATTTTTGTTCAAAACACTCTTCACTGCGACCAAAGATTATTACTGAACTAATCTGTCTTGGACCTTTCCTTCGAGATAACACGCATTTGGTTTAGACCTCCTCATAGCATGGAAGAACAGTTTCAGTGCTGCTTGCTGGAGTCTTAGAGCAGTCATCATCTTCCAGTTTGTTTTTTTACAATAAGACTGAAGGAAAGGCTGCAGGCATCGAGCAGACGGCCGAGGTCCCATCCACCCTCAGCTGTTCTGTGTGTGGGTACATACATGTGCACAGTGAGCACACGCAGTGACTACAGGATTTACATAAACCAACACACAAACTTCCTAAATACAAAAATCAGGATGTCACCTATGTAAGGCGTAATAAGTAGTTAATAAGTAATTAAAAGAAAATAAACCTCTTTGGTAGCTGAAGTAAAAGCAATAATGGCAGTGCTTCTACAGGAATAAAAAGGCTACTTCTAATTCCAAATCAAGATGTATTCCATTCCATACAACTATGCCATCTGCTTCTGAATTACAGACAGCAATATCAAGCTACGGTGAAAGAGACAGGCCAAGTCCTCAGCGACTGAAACGCAAGCATCCCTTCACAAGCATCCCCAGCAACCCCACCACAGCTCAGCCCTTCAGATAATGACTTGTCACCTGCACTTTATTAACAGTGTGGGACACGCACAGGCTCTCTCAGACATCTCAAAATAGGTATTTTACACCTAAGTTGAAGCACATAGCAAAGACCATCTGGAAAAGTAGAACACTGTTAAATATTTGGTACACATGGTGGTCAGTGCTGCATTCCAACTGATCTTTCTTCTGAGAAGAATTGCTTTTCACTGGAAAGTTCTTTCCGTAGTTTTAATCACATTCTTCTTTCTTACCTCCTACACAAATCCAGCCTCCCCTCAGACACTCAGCCCTGTGACCTCAAGTAAAAGTTTCCCACTTATTTCCACATACAAAATACATGAAAACAGTGTTGCCTTCCTCTGCACAAGCAATCACAGTCTCTATCATTCCCATTTCCATTTACAAAGTTCACAACAACCTCCCCATTTATGTTTGCACTCCTTGAAGTGTTGCACAAGAACTTCAGATAATTGATAAATAAATGTAATCATCAATGCGATTAAATCTCAGAGCTTATTCAAATAAAAAATTTTGAAGATAACTTGTAACTAATTTAAGAAGCTGCATTCAGACAGCACAAGAGACACAAAAGCTAAATGATACAGGTCCGTATGCTTATGAATCACATCAAACCACAATCTCTAAGTGAATACAGTCGAAAATGAAAATTACCAGCTCAAGCTTAATGAATATAAGATAAACATAGAAATAACTGTTCCTTACAGTTCATCTCTTTGCCTTTGTGAGAGCACCATTGTGGCTGTGATGTCAGGTTAACGTGTGTCAGGTTAATGTCTCCCCAAGATCTGAAGCCTTAGGATCCACAACTCAGTCTGCCACAGCGGATCCAAGCTCAATTGTTTCTCCAGATGGGAAATCCAACAGAAAAACCTGGAGGCATTCAACACAGAAGATTCAATCCATCTAGAAGGAAGAAAAAGAGATATTGTTCATTTATTTCAAATAAGCATTCAGTCAGTGAGCTGATAAGCAGATTTATGTACCCAGATCACACCACCACTCTGGACAGAATAGAACAACTTCATCTGTAATCACAGTTTTATTTCGGAAGCCTGGATTCTGCCCTCACAGCACACTTCCAGTCTGGAGACACTTGTACACATTCTCTGTTCCTTCTCTTCCTACCACTGCTGCTTCAAGAAACATGAAGCCGAAGGAGTTACCTTCACACACAGCCCAGTCCCAGGCTGTCTACCTTAAGCAACAGGCTTGTTGATCCCACTGGTCCTATCGAAGAGCTACTCCCCCAAATCCTCTACCTTTACACAAGATTTTTAGCATTTGAAGACCTATAGCTTCACCAAACTGTGCTCAGCAAGGATTATTTCAGCTAAGTTCCAACACACTCTCGTATCTTCCAGCTTAGTGGTATTTAAGCAGAAACGAGCATGCTCCCACAGGGGACGAAGCACTACGGCACACTGAGCTCGGGACCGGCACTGTCAGCACGCTCTGCTCGCTGCTGCAGCTCAGCTGTGGCATGATGTCAGGCACTTCTCTGGGACTCACCAGACAGAGCCTTAAAGAATACAGGTAGAATTCAGCACCTGAACTTTCCAGGGAGATTATTACACTTACTAAACAAATTACTTTCTCTATCCTACCAGCACCACCTGAAAAGTTCCAAATAATACCATTCTGAAGGGACAGAACCTGCCTTCTTCTCATTCACACGCTGACAGAGTTTACCTCTGTTAACTCTGAGTTAAATCTACCCCTTTTTTGGGATACATCAGATTTGTAAATGGATCTTCAGCATTAACAGAGCAATGCAATTTTTACACCAAGCTCAGAACCAGTCAGAAATCAGCCTTTAATTACCTATTTCTCCCCCCACAACATACTATCTTATTAACAAGAGCTATTAATAAGGACTTTAACTATTAGGACATTAACTATTCTCAGTGTGCAAACGGCCTCTGTTGGACAGCTGTACCTTAGTCCAGGAGACTGCAATAAAAGCACTTGAGCAGCTCTGCCTCCTGGCTGCTGCACTGCAGGTACTCTTTCGTAAGAAGCACCATTATGAAAAATGCTGAAGCAGGCACTTCCTGCACGCTGGACAAGAAGCTGCATATAACATTTACCAAAGCTGCTAAGCAAGTTTCACCAACCGACTTCTACCAGTGAGACACAGTGAAAGCAAAGCATACAAAGACTTCAGGAAGAAGTTGGTCTGTAACCTTTCTACCAAAAAGCACATGCTCACTTTCTCTCCCTTGCTGTTTCCCATACAGGTAAGAGGCCTACTTCAAACTTCAGACTCTTACATAATACATAAAATACTCAGCTTATGTCGTTCATTTCTACTTATCCACTGCAGCAGATCAGCAGTTGGTCTCTAAACCTATCTGGGCTCCACGGTCTGTTTCAAAAGCGCAGCTGCGAGCTGTATGTGCTGCACCTTGCTGCTGGATTCCCACACCAGGTGCAGTCCATCACAGAAATGCACCACCAGCTGTTAGGGCAGCAGCACTCCCTAATTAGCTTAACACCTTCCCTAATAGCTACTTCAGGAATGATTCAGCTGAAAGCCAGTAGCACATATTCCATCCTTTCAGACAAGAGAAGCAAACAATTCTCATTCTCCTGTCTCTTACCTATCAGGAGGTGGGATAACTGCTCTTCACAGATGCATCAAGGCAGGAGTGCAGAATATCAAGTAAGGGAAATTTAGCTTATATATATGAAATAATATACTGACATGATCAGAAAAAGTGCCCTCTAGAGGGCAATGCTGCAATAAATTTAAGCACTAGGAAAAAAAAAGGCTCATAATGGCTGATCTCTGCACTTGAGTACAAACATAGCAACGCCGCGACAAACACTGCCAGGGAGAGCAGCACAGGCAACCGCCTCCCAGAAGCACAGAGCAGAACACAAGCTGTGAACTTCCAGAAACTGCTCGTAGTATTACAACTGCAGTAAAGTCACAGCATTAAAAACAAAGAGTTTTTGTATTGTGAACTGTTTCAGCATCAAATGCAGTAACAGTGGCACAGTAACTCTGGTAAACATAATACACCAATATTTGTGGTCAGTGCCTCGAGGAGACACACCTATAGCTTACACCTAGAAATACCAACTAGGCTGCAAGGTGGTCCTTGATCCACCATACAGGTAACAAATGTGTTTCTGTCCTTCAGTAAAGGAACCCTAAACTCTCCCTCCTACAGCCCCAACTGCTGTCCCACTCCAATTCCTTCTGACAGCAGCCCTTTCCCATGTGCTCCCAACATGTGCTGTGCTGCAGCTTTATGGGCTGCTGAGGGTGACAGCTCTGCCCACCTTCCTCTGCTCAGTGTGTCACTCTGGATGCTGAGCGAGAAGCAGCTTCCTAACACCCAGGCACACTTTCCTTTGCCCACAGCTGCTATAATTGCACAAGAACTCCAGTGATCACACACATTCCTGCAGTAGCAAAGTGAAGATATGCTAACATCATCCCACATTTCAGCAGTCAGTCCAGCCATAAACAGGCATGGGAATTTGGATGCCAGTCTAAAATAATTCAAACACAGGCTGAGGAATTAATGGCAATATGTAGAGGTTGGATCCTTCACTTTGCTGCCCCCCCAAGAAAAAGGCAAAGTTTGAGTGCTTCACCAACACCTGCACTTCTACAGGCCTTGTGGAGCGGTGGGGAAGAATTACCAAGAGCTTCCAGAGGCAGGATCCTCTCATTCTATCTGAGCTACAGATAGCTAATACTTACGGGAAAACCACCACGAGCTGGTCGCCATTTTTATTCCATCAGTACCAGTGTAAGGTCAACTTTCATGTGGATGCACTTCTTACTGGCCTTAGCTGAGCCCTCAGCATGACACGGCTCTGTGGCAGTGTGATGATGCAGTCTTCATATAAAAATAGATGATGGTGCAGACATCTGCAAGTAGCAGAAGTACACCGCACAAGGAAAGAGGTCATGCTTATTTGTTCAGAAGTTACCACCTTGGTGGAAACGCACCTCTTCTAAAAACAGCAGAGGACAGACAAACGTTGCCCACATGCACTGCCTCTTCACCTGGCCAGCGAGGCTCTGTGACACACACGGGTCGGTGGAGCCAGACTAACCAGTCCTCCTCCACCTATCGAGGTTTGCAGTCACTGCCGCATCACAACCTCCCTGCAAAGCCCTGGTAGTGAGAAACAGACGCTCAACAGAGAAATCTTGGGAAAAACCTATTCCTTGTATCTTGCCGGACATCAGTGATCTGTGGTACCAATAATTCGCTGTGAATGAGGTGGTGTCAAGACAGAGCCAGATCTTTCTCAAAAGAGATTTCTTTTTAATTTGTTCTGTATTATTCAGTACAGGGAAAAGAAGCCTGAGCCTAATAGAGCCATCCATGGAGTAATAACTACTCATTAAATGCAAAACAGGATGCGCCTTGTATTAATAACCCCATCTATACTGCAAAAAAGTTTTACTTCCTAACTTAAGAACCTTCTGATTCCATACTGACAGTCTGCACATTAAAAAAGCATTGAGAAAAAAATCACTTTCAGGCACAGGACTGTCACAAAACCCTCACTTTGTGATAAATCCTGTCATTAAAAAACAAATCATGGCCCATATGATCTACTTCACAACAAAGCCACAAAGACTAAACAAAACTGTTGAAGCACACTTGAATACTTTGTTTTTTAAATGAAAACCAGCCCGTTCTCTTACATTCAATTGCTGAAACAGTATTTCTGGACTTTTACTGAGTCCTGCCATTAAGTACTCATAGATTAGCTACTTCCCAAGCTTTGTTATTTTCCCTGTTTCACCAAAATCATTGGTCTTACTGTTGTTACATCTTTGGTTAGCGATCCTAATAACTCAGCACTCCATCTTTTATCTGAAGGGTCTCTCGGCGTGGCAGGGCACCATTCAGTCTCCCAGAGTAAAGCACGCGTTGTACTATGACAAAACTGGAGTTGCAAACACAGAGGCCAAGGAAGTCACGGACGGGAGCTTCTCTGCTGCTGTGTGCAGGGCAGGGGCTCAGGAAGCCTTTCCAACGCACGCAGTTCAGAAATGCATCGCAAGACATTTACGTACAGACACCAAACTGAAACTACAACCAACCTTACCATCATCCTCTGTTATTGCATCAGCAAGGTCAGTTCAAAGCTCTCCACTGCCCTTCCTTTTCTTCCAGTAAGCACAACAAAGCAGTGCAATGCCTCAACTGACTAACAATACCCACTTCTGCTCTTCAGAACAGTTTATAGTAAAAGTTACTCCAAATTGAGATATGATCCACCTACGCTACAGGTTAGCAATGAGGAAAAGCAAACGTTTAACTTAGAAACAACACACATAGCCATATAAATAAAAAATACACAAATAGCAAATAACTGCTCTCCAACTCATCTTCTATTCTGGGCATACACTCAGTGGAGCCCCTGAGGTACAAGCAAGACCCAAACCCAGGGCAGGCCCAGCCATCCCACCAGGCAGCACAGCTCCCGCACAGCACCCAGCTCTGTGAGCTCCTACACAGACCTTAACTGGTGCAGGCAGGCAGCAGGAAAATTAACCCAAGTTTATCCCAAACCAGCATTCCTTGCATACATTTCTAGGATGTAACCAGGCTTGTTAAGACTCCTCAGCACAGCAGCAAGGAGTAACACAGACAGAAACCTATTATAAGGCCTTTTTAACATTCAGAAGGGCAATTTCGTAGGCTTCTGCCACAGCCCAAGTCCCTCTGAGCACCCAGGCCACAGCTCCCATCATCACGGTCCCAACCCCCACAACGACAGCCAGCCTCAACCCCTGAACTCCAGGCTTAACGTCCTTCCCAGGCTGGTAATTTAACTGCTGGAGCCCACAGAAACATTGCTTATTAGCTACAAAAAACAATCAGCCTTAACACATTCATAAACACTTCCATTTCCTGTAATTCCCA